TGTTGCCCTGGGTTGTATAACTGATGTTACACAACCCAGGCTTCAAGTTTTATCTATTCGGCACGACATGTATATATAAAAGCACCTCAGTGGAAACAAGCCTGACTTCTTTGGGTTATCGTTTGTAATGTATACATGTTACTATGTATTGATAATTGCAATCACCTAAATTTGTATAACTTAATAAACTACAAAAAATTTCTCCCTTATGGTCTTGTCCTGTTTTTCTTACCTCCAAGTTCACTTTATTACTAAAATAAGATAACTTCGTCAAGATGGCAAGAGTCACTGCAGTAGATTAAATAGTTCCTCTGATCGGTTATTTTTCTACAAATAAAATATCGCCAGTTCAGAATGAAATTGAAGACCCCCGATGAGGAGCCACTTAGTAAAAGCGTAAAAATCTATAGCGGTCATTAAATGGACTTATTGTGCAAGAACGCCAAAGTCGTACCATTAGAATCGGGAGCATTTGGTCATTGTTGCTAAGTGATCAGAAATGATAAACCCGATACAGTTGTAAAGACGTTTCATACACGTGTTGAAAAAACTACATTTGGAGTCAGAAATTAAGCTAAACTTTTCTTGATAAGAGAGTGTAACGTGCTGGATTATCTTGCTGGAGTAAAAGGAGTGCAGGAACTCTTGGGTGTTTGCCTAAAGAGGAATCAGATGGTTTCTTATTATGCAGGCGAAACCCTTGGGAGGTTTCTCAGTAACAACACAGACACGCTGCTGAGCAAGCTTCAAGTGATGTTTAAGGTGCATAGTGTCGTGCAGAGAATTGTGGAGAAGGATTTCGCTCATAATGATATCAGGGATAGTAATATTTGTATATTAAACGGAAATATAACCCTGATTGACTTAGGTTTTGGTAGCAAATATGGGACAGTTATTAGTTATGATAAACATAGCTTTAAACAACATGAACGTGACTGGTTTTCCCCGGAGATATGGGGAGGGGCACCATGCTCTGAGGCAAGTGATATTTTTAGCCTTGGAACAATGTGGAATAAATATTTCGGAGACACACATCTCCCTATCGAAATAAAAAACTTAATATAAAAATCGCTAGAAGAGGACGCGATAAATAGGCCTTCCAACTAGGCCTTTATGACTTCTCTTGAAAAGTAAATAAATCAGTTGATGTACATGTAAGGTAAATACGCCTTACCATAGTCTTAGTAACTGTTGCAGTTACCAGCTACCTGTTTACCATCGTCACTTGATCCAGGGAAGAAACTGCTGAAGCAGAAGGTTCATGAAATTTCGCCTTCCTCACCACAGGATTCTGGAAGGAAACTTCTGAAACGAGAGTCATATGAAATCCCTTCTTCCTCACCTCTGGATCCACAGATAAGATCACCTATACGAAAGAGTGATAAAGGTACACCTTTATCTTCATCCGCGCCGCTGGATCATAAGGTGAGATCCACAAAACGAAAGAGGGAGGAAATTTCATCTTCGTCGTGTACATCTTCCTCGTCTTCAATATCCTCTCTGCTTGATCATGAGGCGAGACCCTCAAAAACGAAAGAGGGAGGAAACGTCATCTTCATCTTCCTCGTCTACATTTTCTTCGTCTTCACCTTCCTCGTCTTCATCTTCCTCGTCTTCATCTTCCTCGTCTTCATCTTCCTCGTCTTCATCTTCCTCGTCTTCATCTTCCTCGTCGCTGGAATCAGACACGCCACAGAAACGAAAGATTGATGAAAGTACCTATTCGCTTCTTTTCTGGCTGCTGGATCCAGAAAGGACATCACCTAAAAGAATGAGGTATGAGAGTACCTCTTCCTCCTCCTCCTCCTCCTCCTCACTGCCGGATTCATACATACTTCAATTTCTCGATACAATTAGTAAAGTATCACACTCACATACAAAAGAGTTGCTAATGTTTGAGTTAATAGAATAAATCATTCTAAATAATGTGAGGGATAAATGTCCACCTTCGTTTACATCATAGCAACTGGATCCTGAGGCGACACCCACAGAACGAAAGCGGGAGGAAACCTCGTCTTCATCTCCCTCTCTGCTGGATCATGAGGTGAGATCCTCAAAACGAAAGCGGGAGGAAACCTCGTCTTCATCTCCCTCTCTGCTGGATCATGAGGTGAGATCCTCAAAACGAAAGAGGGAGGAAACCTCGTCTTCATCTCCCTCACTGCTGTATCCTCAGTGAGATCCACAAACGAAAGGAGGAGGAAACCTCTTCTACATCTTCCTCGCCGCTGGTTTCAGAGAGCCCACATAAACGAAAGAGGTATAAAGGTGCATCTCCATGTTCCTCCTCATCGCTGGACTATTATGGACTAAGTAAAGAAGGGAATGAGGCAGATTAAGAGTAAAGTATGTGAGAAACACAGCTAGTTTGACACATGTCCACAGAAAAAAGTGACGTGCTACAGGAAGGCAGCGCAGTCATACCAAATCACTAGGTGCTAAAAAGCATCATTTACCTGGAGTTACCTGGAGAGGGTTTCGGGGGTCAACGCCCCCGGCTCGGTCAACCAGGCTGTTACTGCTTGCTGCACGCAAACTGACGCATGAACCACAGCCCGATTGGTCAGGTACTGACTTTACGTGCCTGTCCAGTGCCTTCTTAAAGACAGCCAGGGGTCTATTGGCAATCCCCCTTATGTATGCTGCAAGTCAGTTGAACAGTCTTGGGCCCCGGACACTTATTGTGTCGTCTCTCAGTGTACTCGTGGCGCCCCTGCTTTTCATTGGGGGAATATTGCATCTCCTGCCGAGTATTTTTCGTTCATAGGGAGTGATTTTCGTGTATAAGTTTGGTACTAATTCCTCTAGGATTTCCCAAGTGCTTATTAGGCCTGGTCACAGACCGGGCCGCGGGGCGTTGACCCCCGTGGCAGTGTAAGTTGTATTTTGTACTTGTACAAATAACGATTATTATTAAATTTTTATTATTATTATTATTATTGTTGTTGTTGTTGTTGTTGTTGTTGTTGTTGTTGTTGTTTTGTTGTTGTTGTTGTTATATATAGTGTTACTGATGTCAGCTATGGTATGTATAAGTTGTATTATGTACTTGTACAAATAAAAATTATTACATTATCATTATTATTATTATTATTATTATTATTATTATTATTATTATTATTATTACTTAATTATTATTATTATTATTATTATTATTATTATTATTATTATTATTATTTTATTCCCTGGAACGCAGGCGGGAGAGATGCATGGTTATATACACCTGGAAAATCCTAGAGGAACGAGTACCGAACTTGCACACGTTAAGAGAGAACACAATAAGTGTCAGGGGCCCGAGACTGTTCAACTGCCTCCCAGCATACATAAGGGGGATTACCAATAGACCCCTGGCAGTCTTCAAGCTGGCACTGGACAGGCACCTAAAGTCGGTACCTGACCAATCGGGCTGTCGCTCGTACGTTGGATTGCGTGCAGCCAGCAGTAACAGCCTGGTTGATCAGGCTCTAATCCACCATGAGGCCTGTTCACAGACCGGGCCGCGGGGGCGTTGACCCCCGGAACTCTCTCCAGGAAAACTATCACTCTAACTATTACTTTAACCAATTATATTGTATTAGCACCACTTGCTTTAGTGATGAATATGGGGAATACATTTTTACTAATTTTACTGTAAAAAACCTTAAGACGCCTATAACAATCGGTGCCTATACCGGATCCCCCACACAAACATCCCAAACTTCAGTGAGAATCTAAAGTCACTAATAACAAACAGACAAATGAACAAGCACCACCTTCTCTTAGCTGGAAACTTAAACATCATTATTATTATAATCAAGGGGGAAGCGCTAAACCCGGAGGATTATACAGCGCCTGGGGGGGGGGGATGTGAAGGCATTCAGGCTTAATTCGGGGAACTGGAGCACAGATCCAATTCCCTAAATCAAGAGCCCCTCCCCAACATCAAGGAACCTTCCTTGAGGGGACTTCAGTATCAACCTTGGCCTACCAGATGATCAGACTGTAACTGATTTCATCAACAATATGAACAACACACTTCTCATACCAACATAACTAAACCACCAGGCTGACTGAGACAAGTGCAACCATAATAGACCACATCTGGACCAATATACTAGCCCCCCTTAATACCATAATCTGTAATATTTTTAAGTTTAGAATTAATCTAAGTCTGCCCGAAACACCTAGACATGCTAGGTGTCCTAGTGGCCCCCTCTGTAATTAGTATTTTATAACATGTAAACCTCACAATATTCAAAATCTGTAAACCCCACATTGTAATCCTTATGGAGAATAAACTTGATTGATTGATTGATTGATTGATTGATTGATTGATTGATTGATTGATTGATTACTAATAATATTGATGTCAGTTATGGTTATGTACTCACCTAATTGTGGTTGCAGGGGTCGAGACTCAAATAAACATTACTATTATTATTACTATGATTATAATTATTATTATTATTATTATTATTATTATTATTATTATTATTATTATTATTATTATTATTATTATTATTATTATTTTATAAAAATAATTACGCAAATACAATTATTGAAATATAATTTTCATTAATGAATCTGGTAAAAAAAATGTATAATAGTTAAAATATTGATAATATAGTTAAAATATTGATAATATAGTTAAAATATTGATAATGTAGTTAAATATTGATAATATTGTTAAAATATTGATAATATAGTTAAAATATTGATAATATAGTTAAAATATTGATAATATAGATAAAATATTGATAATATAGTTAAAATATTGATACTATAGTTAAAATATTGATAATATAGTTAAAATATTGATAATATTGTTAAAATAATGATAATATAGTTAAAATAATTAATAATATAATTAAAATATAATATAGATGTTTTTGGTATAAATTACTTATTCTACATATAATAATTGAAAATAATTGAATAAGTTGTAAATTAATTTTTAAAAAATATAATTTTGATAAATAATTGGTATTATTAAAATATTATAATATAGATATTTGTGGTAGTGAATGTTGTTGTCAGCAGCCAGACTCAGACACATGTGTTATTCTCTCTCAACTTTACCAACAAACATCCAAGATGGTGAGTCATCCAACAACTTGTAAATATCATCATTATCTTGGTTATTTATCCAGGTTTGTGATGTGTTTGTTATGTAAGACAGTTAGTTGATTATTATTGGTTAAAAGTTAGTTAAATATGAGGCGTGTTGGTAGCGGCGGCGTTGATCATATTAACATTGTTTTTTAACATCATCCTGCTGTATTGCCCTTGTGGCTTAGCGCTTCTTTTTGATTATAATAATTTAACATCCACAGATTATAAGGTAATTCATCTTATACATAACTTATTACATTATTAATGTTAACTTTATAATAATGTTTATTTCTTTATAAAGGTTACAATGTGTAATGTGGCCACTATCATGGCCAGGTATTTCAGGCAAACTAATACTAATAAGAACATAATGAAGGAACACTGCAGCAGGCCTACTGGCCCATGCGAGGCAGGTCCAAGTCTCCTACCGGCTTAAGCCAATGCCCCAACCTAGTCAGGTCAGGTCACATTCACTTAAGGAACACAACTGACCCAGCAGCACAAGCTAGTCAGGTCCAACTCACACCCACCCACACCCACTCATGTATTTATCTAACCTATTTTTAAAGCTACACAACGTTCTGGCCTCTATAACTGTACTTGGGAGTTTGTTCCACTCATCGACAACCCTATTACCAAACCAGTACTTTCCTATATCCTTCCTGAATCTGAATTTTTCCAACTTAAAACCATTGCTGCGAGTCCTGTCTAGGTTAGATATTTTCAGCACACTATTTACATCCCATTATTTATTCCAGTCTTCCATTTATACACCTCAATCATATCCCCCCTAATTCTACGTCTTTCTAGAGAGTGCAGATTCAGGGTCCTCAGTCTATCCTCATAGGGAAGGTTTCTGATACATGGGATCAACTTTGTCATCCTCCTTTGTACATTTTCCAGAGCATTTATATCCATTCTTTAATACGGTGACCAAAACTGTGCAGAATGATCTAAATGAGGCCTAACCAAGGATATATAGAGTTGAAGAATAACCTGAGGACTCCTATTATTTATGCTTCTTGATATGAAGCCAAGGATTTTTTTTTTCCTGGATAGAGGCATGGTTGACAAATAGGCAGCAGAGAGTTTGCATAAATGGGGAGAAATCAGAGTGGGGAAGCATCACGTAAGGTGTTCCACAGGGGTCAGTGTTGGGTCCTCTGCTGTTCACAATCTACATAAACGACATAGATGAGGGCATAAAGAGTGACATCAGCAAGTTTGCCGATGACACCAAAATAGGCCGTCGAATTCATTCTGACGAGGACATTAGAGCACTCCAGGAAGATTTGAGTAGACTGATGCAGTGGTCGGAGAAGTGGCAGATGCAGTTTAATATAGACAAATGCAAAGTTCTAAATGTTGGACAGGGCAATAACCATGCTACGTATAACCTAAATAATGTAGATCTTAATATTACGGATTGCGAAAAAGATTTAGGAGTTCTGGTTAGCAGTAATCTGAAACCAAGACAACAGTGCATAAGTGTTCGCAATAAAGCTAATAGAATCCTTGGCTTCATATCAAGAAGCATAAATAATAAGAGTCCTCAGGTTGTTCTTCAACTCTATACATCCTTGGTTAGGCCTCATTTAGATCATTCTGCAGTTTTGGTCACCGTATTAAAGAATGGATATAAATGCTCTGGGAAATGTACAAAGGAGGATGACAAAGTTGATCCCATGTATCAGAAACCTTCCCTATGAGGATAGACTGAGGACCCTGAATCTGCACTCTCTAGAAAGACGTAGAATTAGGGGGGATATGATTGAGGTGTATAAATGGAAGACTGGAATAAATAATGGGATGTAAATAGTGTGCTGAAAATATCTAACCTAGACAGGACTCGCAGCAATGGTTTTAAGTTGGAAAAATTCAGATTCAGGAAGGATATAGGAAAGTACTGGTTTGGTAATAGGGTTGTCGATGAGTGGAACAAACTCCCAAGTACAGTTATAGAGGCCAGAACGTTGTGTAGCTTTAAAAATAGGTTGGATAAATACATGAGTGGGTGTGAGTTGGACCTGATAGCTTGTGCTACCAGGTCGGTTGCCGTTTTACTCCCTTAAGTCAATGTGACCTGACCTGACTAGGTTGGGTGCATTGGCTTAAGCCAGTAGGAGACTTGGACCTGCCTTGCATGGGCCAGTAGGCCTGCTGCAGTGTTCCTTCTTATGTTCTTATAATGTTCTTGTATAATGTTCTTCTATAATGTTCTTGTTTAATGTTCTTGTTCTTGTATGTTCGTCTATAATTTTTTGTATAATGTTCTTGTATAATGTTCTTCTATGTAATTGTATAATCTTGTATAATGAGAGTCGGACTCGGGGGATGTTGAAAAGTGTTTTACGTCTTGTATTGTGACTGTACATTCTCTTGTAACTTAAGTAGTAGTTTTAGGGGAGGTTTACAGTGAAGTTTAGTGTTCGGTATATGTAGTAGGTACAATAATAACAGTGTATGTCTTGTAAGATAATTCTTTTATAAATACTTAAATTGTTAATAAGACACATGTGTAATATATCTTTATTAATAAACTTTTCGCCTACACAGCAGGCTTCTTCAGTCGAGTAAAGAGAAGTTTGTAGAAGCAGTAGAGATGTGAAGACGATATCATCAGTCCATCGTCGTTGAAGACGTAGTTTTGAGGTGGTCAGTCCCTCAGTCTGGAACAAGACTACCTCCATAAGTAAGTTTATTCACATAAACACAAATACACTTACATACATTATCATACATAACAGCATATGTGTAGACAACCTAGAATATGTGTAGACAACCTAGAATATGTGTAGACAACCTAGAATATGTGTAGACAACCTAGAATATGTGTAGACAACCTAGAATATGTGTAGACAACCTAGAATATGTGTAGACAACCTAGAATATGTGTAGACAACCTAGAATATGTGTAGACAACCTAGAATATGTGTAGACAACCTAGAATATGTGTAGACAACCTAGAATATGTGTAGACAACCTAGAATATGTGTAGACAACCTAAAATAACCTAGAAAAGTTGAAATGACTTATTTTCGTTGAGGTCTTTATTCTTGGACCTGCCTCGCATGGGCCAGTAGGTGGCTTGGACCTGCCTCGCATGGGCCAGTAGGTGGCTTGGACCTGCCTCGCATGGGCCAGTAGGTGGCTTGGACCTGCCTCGCATGGGCCAGTAGGTGGCTTGGACCTGCCTCGCATGGGCCAGTAGGTGGCTTGGACCTGCCTCGCATGGGCCAGTAGGTGGCTTGGACCTGCCTCGCATGGGCCAGTAGGTGGCTTGGACCTGCCTCGCATGGGCCAGTAGGTGGCTTGGACCTGCCTCGCATGGGCCAGTAGGTGGCTTGGACCTGCCTCGCATGGGCCAGTAGGTGGCTTGGACCTGCCTCGCATGGGCCAGTAGGTGGCTTGGACCTGCCTCGCATGGGCCAGTAGGCCTGCTGCAGTGTTCATTCTTATGTTCTTATAACCTCTTACAAGACGCACCAGCAACACTAGCGTCTTCTAACTTTATTTACACAATTACTAATGATTATTTTCACATTTATTAGCAAGAGTTCATTTTCATAGTAACTAGTGATCCTTCATTGGGTATGTTTCACCCAGACAGTGGACTTTATTGCCTGTTTCACCCACACAGTGGACTTCATTGACTGTTTCACCCACACACTGGACTTTATTGGCTATGTTTCACCCAGACAGTGGACTTTATTGCCTGTTTCACCCACACAGTGGACTTTATTGGCTGTGTTTCACCCACACAGTGGACTATTGGCTGTTTCACCCACACAGTGGACTTCATTGGCTGTTTGACCCACACAGTGGACTTTATTGGCTGTGTTTCACCCACACAGTGGACTTTATCAAGTTAGAGAGTTTACCTGACTCCACACCGTACATACTCTACTCAGATCTGTTTGCGACTTGATAAAGTCAACTGTGTGGGTTAAATGGTCAGTAAAGTCGACTGTGTGGGTGAAATGGTCAGTAAAGTCGACTGTGTGGGTGAAACGGTCAGTAAAGTCGACTGTGTGGGTGAAATGGTCAGTAAAGTCGACTGTGTGGGTGAAACGGTCAGTGAAGTCGACTGTGTGAGTGAAACGTTATCAGTAAAGAATCACATTATGCTGCATTTGTCTGATTATTCATTGTGGTTCTTATAACACCATTTACACTAACCAACAAAATTTAACTTTTTTTTTATCAGTTCAGAAATACTATTGGTTGTTTTAAGTTAACTCTGCAACATTGATCACCAGTGCATTTTCACAATCTTGTGTACAATATTTTGGTTATTTAATTAATAAGGTTGAAGCATCATGCATCATATTTATTTATATTATGTGCAGATACTAAGTGTGGTTCATGTAGTGATAAATGCTGGGTTTTATTTACACAAATTCATTGAGTGAAGTTTATTTAGGTGCAGGTACACAAGTATGGTCATGCAAATTTAATTACAATTTTTATACATAACTTGCATAATACCTACTTGCCTGGAGTCTACCTGGCGGGTGTTACGGGGCTCATCGCCCCCTAGGAAACCCAAAAAAGTTAGTGACTTAATTCCACTGGGATCCCTGTATGATTGAAAAATATCAGTTCCCAGGTAGTCATAGAAACATTTATGGTTAGTGTTTTCAGGCTTTTTAATCTTGTGATCACCGTTGCTCTCCCGCACCAGTGTGGTCACCGTTGCTCTCCCGCACCAGTGTGGTCACCGTTGCTCTCCCGCACCAGTGTGGTCACCGTTGCTCTCCCGCACCAGTGTGGTCACCGTTGCTCTCCCGCACCAGTGTGGTCACCGTTGCTTTCCCGCACCAGTGTGGTCACCGTTGCTCTCCCGCACCAGTGTCCAGCAATAGTTGACCCCTAAACTGTAAGTTATGTTTGCTCTGGTATTTCTTCTCTTGTCTTGGTGATATCACAAATTGTATAAGGTAAGGTTAGATTTTTTGGGATTTTTAAACCAGGGTAGGGAGGGTTAGCCACCTCGAATATCCCAGGGTAGGATGGGTTAGCCACCCAGGATAACCCAGGGTAGGGAGGGCTAGCCATCCAGGATAACCCAGGGTAGGGAAGGTTAGCCATCCAGGATAACCCAGGGTAGGGAGGGTTAGCCATCCAGGATAACCCAGGGTAGGGAGGGTCAGCCATCCAGGATAACCCAGGGTAGGGAGGGTCAGCCACCCAGGATAACCCAGAATAGGGAGGGTTAGCCATCCAGGATAACCCAGGGTAGGGAGGGTTAGCCATCTAGGATAATCCAGGGTAGGGAGGGTTAACCACCCAGGGTAACCCAAGGTAGGAAGGGTTAACCACCCAGGGTAACCCAAGGTAGGAAGGGTTAACCACCCAGGGTAACCCAAGGTAAGAAGGGTTAACCACCCAGGAAAACCCAGGGTAGGGAGGGTTAGCCACCCAGGGTAGGGAGGGTTAGCCACCCAGGATAACCCAGGGTAGGGAGGGTTAGCCACCCAGGATAACCCAGGGTAGGGAGGGTTAGCCACCCAGGATAACCCAGGGTAGGGAGGGTTAGCCACCCAGGATAACCCAGGGTAGGGAGGGTTAGCCACCCAGGATAACCCAGGGTAGGGAGGGTTAGCCACCCAGGATAACCCAGGGTAGGGAGGGTTAGCCACCCAGGATAACCCAGGGTAGGGAGGGTTAGCCACCCAGGATAACCCAGGGTAGGGAGGGTTAGCCACCCAGGATAACCCAGGGTAGGGAGGGTTAGCCACCCAGGATAACCCAGGGTAGGGAGGGTTAGCCACCCAGGATAACCCAGGGTAGGGAGGGTTAGCCACCCAGGATAACCCAGGGTAGGGAGGGTTAGCCACCCAGGATAACCCAGGGTAGGGAGGGTTAGCCACCCAGGATAACCCAGGGTAGGGAGGGTTAGCCACCCAGGATAACCCAAGGGTAGGGAGGGTTAGCCACCCAGGATAACCCAGGGTAGGGAGGGTTAGCCACCCAGGATAACCCAGGGTAGGGAGGGTTAGCCACCCAGGATAACCCAGGGTAGGGAGGGTTAGCCACCCAGGATAACCCAGGGTAGGGAGGGTTAGCCACCCAGGATAACCCAGGGTAGGGAGGGTTAGCCACCCAGGATAACCCAGGGTAGGGAGGGTTAGCCACCCAGGATAACCCAGGGTAGGGAGGGTTAGCCACCCAGGATAACCCAGGGTAGGGAGGGTTAGCCACCCAGGATAACCCAGGGTAGGGAGGGTTAGCCACCCAGGATGACCCAGGGTAGGGAGGGTTAGCCACCCAGGATGACCCAGGGGAGGGGGGGTTAGCCACCCAGGATGACCCTGGGTAGGGTGGGTTAGCCACCCAGGATGACCCTGGGTAGGGTGGGTTAGCCATCCAGGATGACCCTGGGTAGGGTGGGTTAGCCATCCAGGATGACCCTGGGTAGGGTGGGTTAGCCATCCAGGATGACCCTGGGTAGGGTGGGTTAGCCATCCAGGATGACCCTGGGTAGGGTGGGTTAGCCATCCAGGATGACCCTGGGTAGGGTGGGTTAGCCATCCAGGATGACCCTGGGTAGGGTGGGTTAGCCATCCAGGATGACCCTGGGTAGGGTGGGTTAGCCATCCAGGATGACCCTGGGTAGGGTGGGTTAGCCATCCAGGATGACCCTGGGTAGGGTGGGTTAGTCCCCCAGGGTAGCTCAGGGTAAGGAGGGTTAGCCACCCAGGATAACCGAGGGGAGGGGGGTTAGCCACCCAGGATAACCCAGTGTAAGGAGGGTTAGCCATCCAGGATGACCCTGGGTAGGGTGGGTTAGCCATCCAGGATGACCCTGGGTAGCCCAGGGTAGGGAGGGTTAGCCACCCAGGGTAGGGAGGGTTAGTCACCCAGGATAACCCAGGGTAGGGAGGGTTAGCCACCCTGGATTTAAGTCCCCATGGTAACAGGAGGAGGGTTAGCCACCCAGGATAACCCATAGTAGGGAGGGTTAGCCACCCAGGATAACTCATGGTAGGGTGGGTTAGCCAACCAGGATAACCCAGGGTAGGGAGGGTTAGCCACCCAGGATAACCCAGGGTAGGGAGGGTTAGCCACCCAGGATAACCCAGGGTAGGGAGGGTTAGCCACCCAGGATAACCCAGGGTAGGGAGGGTTAGCCACCCAGGATAACCCAGGGTAGGGAGGGTTAGCCACCCAGGATAACCCAGGGTAGGGAGGGTTAGCCACCCAGGATAACCCAGGGTAGGGAGGGTTAGCCACCCAGGATAACCCAGGGTAGGGAGGGTTAGCCACCCAGGATAACCCAGGGTAGGGAGGGTTAGCCACCCAGGATTCCCCAAGAAAGTCAATGAGTCATTGAAGACAATGGTCTTTTAATATCTTCCCAGGATGCCACCCACACCCACCCAGGTACCTACTTACTGCTAGGTGAACAAGGACAGCAGGTGTAATTAACCTCAGACATTCAGTGTGTGAGGCGAGTGTGTTGCCTACTGAGCCATTTGGTATGTATGTTAAGGTTTGAAGTTAGCATTCCAAAATGAGTTAGAAACCTATAAACAACAAAAATGGCTAAGTTAGACTGAAACGTCGTAAGCTGCTCTCTCCTATGTGCGGGCTCTTTATAGAAAGCTATGTTTATACAGGTCCACATCCCTTTATCTGAAACCCCTGGGGCCAGTTGTGATTTGAATTTCAAAATTTTTCGAATTTCAGAACGAAGGTGGGGTTTAGGGCAGCACCCCATAATCAAATATTAACACTGCAGCAAAAAATGTATGAATACTCGCACTAAGTGGGATAAATAAGGGAGGGGCAAGCCTTTTTCCAGTGAACAAGATATTAAAATTGAAAAATTATGGAAAAAAATGTTTTCTTGCTGAAAAATGGTGCAAAATTCTGGCAATATTTTGATGTAATCAGCTTGTTTCTATCATATTTCTAAGCATGTTTTTCATTAAATGCATTTTTTTTTGTTCTGCTGTCAGTACATGTTGGCAATTAGTTTTTTTTTTTTTTTCTCCCAAAATTACGATTTTTATGATTTTTTCATTGTAAATACTGTACATGGCAACTTGTGTGCTGGCTAGTGTGAGGAGAGCAACAGTAAGCCTGTCAGTAGTCGGCAGACTGTAGAGAAGATAGGAGGAGTGCAACACGCTGAATGGTGGTGCGCGACTTCCCAAGAGTTTCACACTGTAAAATAAAAAAAATCTCGGTAATAAGTTATTAACATTCTAATCCATTTTTTCGTTACATATTCATTGGATTGTCATGATTTTTGCAGACGTTATTGAGGAATGATGGTTCTACAAACACCCAGAGAAGATTTGCCGTATTGTGAACAGCTTCTTGTTAATGATTTTTTCCTCTAAAAAAAATAAAAAAAAAAAAAAATACTAATTTCAACTTTTCTTCTTTATGGAATCTACTAACATTATTGCTAAAATGCTCTGGGTCATTATTAACACAGCCTTTTTCTTTCATCTGACATCAACTAGAGCATTGTACATCTTCCCAATTTAGTAAAATTTGGAAAGCCCTAGGACCCATAAAATTGTGCAAAAATATTTTTTTCCTATCTAACTTCAAGGCTAACAGTCAAAACAAACACAGCCTATACATTTTTTTAAGCTGATTAATCCACTGTCAAAATCCCATTGAAATCTCATAAAAAAAAAATTGGAGATTTCGCTCGCCTCTCCCTAAAGACTCCACATACTACTACAGTTTATTTATAGAGTAATATATTGATAAATGAAATAATGGGATAATTACAGGCCTCTCTCAACATTTGCGAGGGTTAAGGATCAAGAGCCTTGCCAATGTTTGGTACTCCCATATACAGTGGACCCCTGCCTTATGATGGCATCGCGTTACGTTAAATCTGCCATACAATACATTTTAATGCAAAAGTTTTGCCTTGCCTCGCGCTAAAAAACTCGCCTTACGTGATTCGTCCGGGATGCGTCCCACGTGTGGCCTCAGCGCCAGCATTTACAAGTCAGCCAGTGCGGTCACATCTACGCATACATTCGGATCATTTCACATTATCCCGGTGTTTTTAGTGCTTGTAACTGCAAAATAAGTCGCCATGGACCCCGAGAAAGCTTCTAGTGCCATCCCTGTGGTAAAAGGGCGAGAATTACTATGGAATTGAAAAAATTGATTGAGGAAATGTGTGCAAAGTGGGTTGAACTGCAAACCTTTATGGATGAAAATCGCCTTGACACAGCTACTACAAGCCATGTTGGCAACCTGTACAATGTTATGGCCCATTTTAGGAAAGTCTTAAAGGAACGGGAGGTACAAAGCTCTATGGACAGATTTGTTGTGCGACGGAGATCCAGTGACTCAAGCTGGTCCTAGTGGCATTAAAAGAAGGGAAGTAACCCCGGAAAAGGACTTGCTACCTCAAGTCCTAATGGAAGGGGATTCCCCTTCTTAACAATAACTTCCACACTCCCCTCCTCCCATCCCATCAATCACCACCAGATCTGCAATAAAGGTAATTGTCATGTATTCTATTCTTAGTAGAGTAGTAATTGTTCATGTCTTCAGTTTGTGTGCATTAAAATTAATATTTCATGTGGTAAATTTTTTTTTTTTTTTTCATACTTTGGGGTGTCTTGCACAGATTAATTTGATTTCCATTATTTCTTATTGGGAAAATTAATTTGCCTTACGATAAATTTGGCATATGATGAGCTCTCGGGAACGGATTAATATCGTAAGGCGGGGTCCACTGTATTGTAGGGAAATATAATACAATACTGCTTCCTTAACCTGTTGAACCATAAACAATCATAAGAGACATGAAAACATCATGAAATGTTGTACTATTTAGTATGTGCTATATACAAGTTATGTATAGTTTAATAACAAATAATGAACTTGCAAAACACTCGCCACACGTAAGGTCGACTCAACTAAATCTGATGACTTGTGATGACGATGGTGATAATGGTTAGCCATGCTAGGAAAGAATGTAGCGAGCAAAATCCCAATGTCAAACACCCGTCCATCAGACTACCTCACGGGCACCTACCCGCATACACTATTCCTAGCCCCATGCAACCCAGCAGAAGTCTCACTCATCATCAACACCCTTAAAAACAAGGCAGGAGACATAAATAAGTTACCACGTTTAATGTGCATAAAAGCTTCACGAGTATTGTCACCAATAATTGCAACACTTTAACAAATCCATCGAATCCTCCACCTTCCCAGCAATTCTCAAAATGTGCAAGAAAGGTATAAAACACCTACAATATGAAAGTTTAGACACGTGTGCAACTTCTGGATATCTTTATTGTAGACGTTTTGCCATCCAGTAGCTTTATCAATACAGATTCTAGGACATAATTAGAAGACAGTAGAATATAGATGTTTCCTCTTCATATCTACAAACAGAATTTTGTATGGAATTATGCTCCTATCAATGTCATTCATCACCTTCAAAGCCCTCACCATCGATGGATCTCTGTCGTACATAAATTGTTTGAGCTGTGCATTCATTCTCATCACTTGCCCTAGTTTTTCAAGGGTGAGATCTTGAGGTTGATTGGCCTCAGCAACGTTCTCTTCTTCTTCATCCTCATTCTCTGCCAGCACAATCTCCAATAACTTCATCATTTAGGCCCAGTGCATGCTCTTCAACCAGTCCTCTCACCTTGCCCTCCTGCACATCCTCGAACCCTTCACCACCAACTAGCTTTGCTAACTCCAGTCTTCCTCATGGCTTTGTTAACCTCATCCTCAGGACCAAATCCAACAAAATCACACACATACACTGGCCACAAAGCTTTCGAACAACCCATTACCATCTGAGGTTGCAAATCCTTGACACTATCGTGCACTATTGAGAGACTGTCAGGGATGTTGAAGTTTTTCCAGTATTGAGTGACACTCGTATCTGGATCTGCATCCAGCACAGTGTGGAGCCTTTGCATTGACCTTCGTGTGTAGTAGGCTTTAAATGTAGCTATCACACCCTGATCAAGAGGTTGTATCAGGGAGGTTGTTTGGCGGCATGAACATAACCTCAGCATTGTCACACATTCCCTCCAGTGATGGTGGGTGACCTTGAGCATTATCAAGAAGCAGGAGGATTTTGTTTGGGAGGCCCTTCTCTTGTAGATATGCCTGTACCTCCATCAGGAAGCAGTGGTGAAACCAGTCCATACAGATGACGTTGGTGGTCCATGCTTTCGGATTGTGCCTCAAGAATACTGGAAAGAGATTCTTGTGCGTCCCTTCAGTGCTCTGGGGTTGGCACATTTATAAATAAATCCTGGCTTTATCATGTGCCCAGGAGCATTAGCACATCCATGAAAGCAAAGAGAGGGAATGTACAAGTCAATAGCATTGTAAGGGGGGGCGGGCTGCCCCGCATGACACCATTTAGAGGGTAACACCATAGAGCCTCTAAAGAAGGTGACACTAATGCACAAAACAGTGCTGCAGCAACATAAGAGAAAAATCCTTCATTTCTATATAGCCTATTATGTGATTACAGAGTATAAATAGGCCTATACGTATAGGGAAAAATCATTGATTTTCATTATGTGATAATGATTTTGCAGGATTGAAGGCAAGGAAATATATAATTTCAGATTCATTGAGATGTTACACCTGTACTCAAGGTCAGATCGGAACTGGTGTTTCTCTGATATTGCAATGTTTTTGTTTATTTTTCAAGTTTTTTTTTTTTTTTTTCATTGTTGATGAATAAATGTAGGATCTGTTGCCTGTACTCAATGTGGTATTTGAGTTTGTTTCCTCAATATTACTAAGACTATTTATTTTATCATTAATAAAATTGAAGTATTCTCCTTTGTTTATGGCTCATAAATGTTCTCATTGCTAAACCTTAGTCACTTATCATGCAGTAGTGACGTAACTGGAGTTTACTCCCCCCATCCCCCCGCCCTTGGATTTCATGGGGGGTGACACCAAAGATGCCGCCCCAGGTGATATCAACCCTAGCGATGCCACTGATGATAGTACAGTGGACCCCCGCATAGCGAACTTAATCCGTGCAAGAGGGCTGGTCGTTATGCGAAATGTTCGCTATGCGAATTAATTTTCCCCATAAGAAATAATGGAAATAAAATTAATCCGTGCAAGACACCCAAAAGTATGAAAAAAAATTTTTTTTACCACAAAAAAATGTTAATTTTAGTGCACACAAACTGAAAAAGGCATGCACAATTACATGACACTTACTTTTATTGAAGATCTGGTGATGATTGATGGGATGGGAGGAGGGGAGAGAGAGTGTTAGTGTTTAGAAGGGGAATCCCCTTCCATTAACACTTGAGGAGGCAAGTCCTTTTCCGGGGTTACTTCCCTTCTTCTTTTAATGCCACTAGGACCAGCTTCAGAGTCACTGGACTTCTTTCTGTCCATAGAGCTCTGTACCTCCCGTTCCTTTACGATTTGTCTAAAATGGGCCATAACATTGTCATTGAAATAGTCACCAGCACGCCTTGCAACAGCTGTGTCAGGGTGATTTTCATCCATAAAGGTTTGCAGTTCAACCCACTGTGCACACATTTCCTTAATTTTTGAAGTAGGCACAATGGATTCCACAACTGGCATAGGCTTCTCAGGGTTAGCCCCAAACCCTTCAAAATCTTTCTTAATTTCCATACTAATTCTCACCCTTTTTACCACAGGGTTGGCACTAGAAGCTTTCTTGGGGCCCATGGTCACTTATTTTCAACAAACAGAACCGAAAACACTGTAATAATACGAAATATTCCGAGTGTATGCTTGAATGTTACCGCGGAGGCTAGCTGGTAAACAATGGGACAGGCGGCACATGTGAGGCTGGCTGAGGCCGCACATTGGACGCGTCTCGGACGAAGTTCGCTGAGCGGGTTTTTGTCTACTATGCGGGGCAAAATTTTAGCGAACAAAGCGTTCGCTATGTGGAATGTTCGCTATGCAAGGCGTTCGCTATGCGGGGGTCCACTGTATAGTTATACCAACACTTTTGTATGGGTGTGTGGCATGGGTGGTGAATGTTGCAACAAGGAGAAGGCTGGAGCCAGTGGAGATGTCATGTCTGAGGGCAATGTGTGGTGTGAATATAATGCAGAGAATCCATAGTTTGGAGATTAGGAGGAGGTGTGGGATTACCAAAGCTATTATCCAGAGGGCTGAGGAGGGGTTATGGAGATGGTTTGGACATGTAGAGAGGATGGAACAAAATAGAATGACTTCAAGTGTATAAATCTGTAGTGGCAGGAAGGCGGGGTAGGGGTCAGTCTATGCAAGGTTAGAGGGAGGGGTCAAGGAGGTTTTGTGTGCGAGGGGCTTGGACTTCCAGCAAGCCTGCGTGAGTATGTTAGGAGCAATTGGAGTTAAATGGTTTTTAGG